ATTGGTCAGACATGTTAGCCAATCCTCGTCGACCTATTGCACAATGGCATACTTTGCAACCAATGCCTGAAAAAGGTTAAAATATATATAATTGCAAAAGAAAACTCAAACAATACACTCAACAATTTACTTCACTATTTTCCTCTAGTGTACCTACCTACCTATCTTTCTAACAGGATTATATTCTAACCACAGAATAATAAAACATTTAGAATGATATGTAACAAATGAAAAAGCCAATACAACAAAACCCTACGAATTGTGAATTTCTTATATTTATCAGTTACTCATTTCGCCGGGCTCTATTCTACTATTTGAAATAGTAATGAAAAGATTAGAAAGATATTAATTTAAAAGTGTAATTTCAATGTGTAACCAATACAGAAACTATACATCACTTATGGATACTTAAAAGAAATAATAACCTTTTTTTTCATTTAGTGTTTTCTTAATGAGAATCATTTCAATTAATTAATCCTTTCCTTGGTCTAATTTGTGTCAACAGGAAAATCACAGCTAATTTTGAAGTTCTTTACATATAATTAAAGTTTATCTATTCGTCTTTTATTTAATACCACTCTTATATATATATATACACACACACACATAATCCTTCTCCCGTTTTGTTTCTTTTTTTCGTGGGGAATCATTATGACATTTATTCCTATACAAAATAATCTGTTATCTTGTTTTTTCTGATAAAATAATAATAATACTACTAATAACCACTCTGTTCATGTTATTTTTCTTTTACACGTCGTATATACATACATCAATACATACAATATACATTTCAATCTTGAATTTAGCCTCTTTATTAATTGTACGAGTTTTAATTTGTCTTAAGAGTATTTGTTTAAATGATTAATTCTTTGTTAAATGGATATTCAATGTGCGTTCAATGTACGTCAATATTCATCGTCTTTTTTTTCTCTCTCCTTTTAAAACACATATAAATACGAAGAGTTCATTATCATGTGAAGTTCGAAATAAAGATCTCTTTATTGATTAAAAGTCTGTTGCATATAATCAAAATAACTAATTGTGTCATTTTTATTCTGTTACATATGTCAAATATACAAAACAATTTATTTAGACTACAGATTCCGACCGTTGTTGCTACCTTGACAGAGTGGTCGGTCTTACCTATTTTTATGAACCAATCGGGCTAAACTGATTGGAACTATCGTTCTTCAAGGTCCTAACATGTCAGACAGGTTGGTTGAAGAGTGGTAAGAGTAAAAGCAGCAAACCCAAGTTCCGGAAGCGAAGTTGTACTGGCGACGGTACAGAGGTGTAACAGCAGTAAGGTGTTTTCTTCAGACATTCAGCATAACAGCAATGCTGTCTTCCCACAAGGAAGAGTGGAGTTAGGAAAGGTCCACCCTATAAATGCACACCTCGCCTTACCCCACGGATTCCCGTCCCCGGCGGTAAGGTTCCAGCAAGTACGGAGCTAACACGAAAACTACTCACAAAAAGGTCGTGTGTGGCCAACTTCAGGCAGTTGTTCCTTGGGTTCTGTGGTCACGCCCTTAGGTCACCAAGACCACCCCTAACCCAATTTCCTTTTCAGGTGCCTCTAGAAGAACCCTTTCACGGTGTGGGCAACTAGGAAGTGATAACCACCCTCATACCTCTAACAGCACTCAAGATCACTGTATTCATAATCAATCTCCCTCTTCAATTCCTATTATTTCTCCTGCATCGACTTTCAACACTGAACTTGCTCTTTTGACTTCCTCCTCAAGTGTCACCATGGCCAACGATTCGGGTGAGAGAAACAGTCTCAGGTCTGCTGAAACCTATCTTCAAACTACACATTGGAGCCTTCAACGTACGCAAATCGGCCAGCAGGTCTCCTTACCTAAAACCCTAGAATCTCGTACCATTGATGCATGCTGTGTCGCCGAAACACGTATACAGGATCCTAATGTGGTCATTCACTTGACCTCACCTAGCCAAAACGGAGAGCCGACGAGACATACTCTCCGTTTATCTGGCGACCCGATGGTTAGTTCTCGTGGACTGGCGGATGTTGGTATAGCGCTTGGTACGAGGGCAGAACAAGCACTATTAGAATGGATCACTCTTAACAGTCAACTATCTGCTGTTCGGCTAAACGGCTCTGTAAGAAGTTAGAAGGATAGAGACACGCGTCGTTGCCTTTTCGTCGTTTCTGCCCATGCTCCCGCTGACTGTAGCCCGGATGAAGTGAAAGATGATTTTTACAGAAGGCGTTCTGGACTTCTTCAAAAAACTAAACGCTCAGACAGTACTTGTAGCGAGGACGACTGAGGTCACACTTAAGCAGTTCTGAAAATGAGGCTGATTCAGATGTTGCTTGGGGAAATATACGAGCAGCTGCGGAAACAGCAGCGACATCTACTAGTGATTTGAACCAAACCAGTGGATATCTACTAAGTCTCTTGCACTGATAGATTCTCGTAAACTTATCGCATCAGGCTCTGAATACGACGAAGAGGAAAACAAATCAGATCTAGGTTAACCAAAAGTCTAAGAAGCCACCGTGAGCAGTGGTGGGCAACGAAAGCAAAAGAGATGGAAAAGGCAGGGGCTGTAGGTAACACAAGACAACTTTCCAGACCAATAAAATAAACTGGAATTAAGAAGTCAAGTGAGTGAGATCTCTGAAAATGACGATACTTATCTCCTCTCAGCCCGGACGTTTAGAACAATCGGCGGAACACTTTAAGGAGCGGTTCAGCTGCTCTACAACTACCCAACATTCCCAGACATCCTGAATGGAAAATCGAAGTAGGCCCCCCGATTCCAATTGAAGTTGAAAAAGCTATAGCTAATCTGAAACGAGGAAGAGCCCCTGATCTAGATGGATTAGCTCCAGAGGTCTTTAAGGATGGTGGTTCAGTTTGAGCGACTAGGTTGACTAACATTTTAGCTAAAATCTGGAAACTGGACATAATCCCATCTGACTGGTCGCAATCACTGATTGTCCCAATATATGAGGGGTAAAAACATCCTGTGACAAACATAAAGGGATTAGTGTGACTAACATATCATCTAAAATACTAGCCTTTGTAATCATCGGACGCCTAACAAAGACTCGTGGACTGCAAACACGAAGAAATCGGGCTAGCTTCAGACCTGGTCGTGGCTGCATCAGCCACATATTCATTATTCGGCGTCCGAAATTGATAATCTTTCTTGACTTAAAAGCAGCATTTCACTCTGCAGAATGAGAGGTTCTGTAGCAGTGTTTGTTGTTGAAAGGCGTACCTCAGAAGTACATAAACCTTGTGAAGGTACATTACCCGAGCACTACCAGTCGAGTCAAAGCTTATGGCGAACTTTCATCTGATTTCGCAACCTCAAGTGGTGCCCGGCAGTGCTGTCCACTATCTCAATTTCTGTTTAATTTCATCCGAGACCTACTGCTGGAAATAGCGTTCTCGTCGGCTGAACTTTCGGGCATTGATCTCTTACCAAGAGGTCCACTTATCGACTTAGAATACGCAGATGACATAGTCCTGTTTGGCGAAGACGCTGATAAAATGTAGTCTTTTGGTAGCACTGAGCAACAATGACAGGATGTTTGGAATGCGCTTCTCCTCCACTAAATGCAAGTTTTTGCTCCAGGACTGGCCTGCGTCAACATCTGAACTAAGAATAGGGAGCGAAGTAGTCAAACGCGTCAACGAATCCACTTACCTAGGAAGTCTGACCAGCCCTGATGGGTTGGTGTCTGACAAAATCTCTGCACGAGTTCAGAAAGCCCGTTTGATTTTTAACAACTTACGTCACCTATGGCGAAGGCGAGATATCTGTCTATCAATTAGAGGATGTGTATACTGCGCGGCAGTTCGTTCTGTTCCACTTTGCGGTTGCGAAACGTGGTCATTAAAGGTAGAGGATACTATTAAGTTGCTTGTATTTGATCACAGATGTCTTAGAAATATTGCTCGCATCATCGGGTAACTAGTAGTGTGGTTAGACGCAGGGTATTAGGGAATGATGGTAAATCAGTTGATGAAGTTGTAAATTTCCACCGACTCAGATGGTTGGGCCACATGTTACGTATTCCTGAATACCGATTACCACGACGCGCAATGCTGCTGACTAGTGTTGGACACGGTTGGAAGAAAGTTAGGGACTGACAAACCGAAACGTGGCATCAGTCTTTGAAGTCACTAACTTCTAGTCTGACCCATGTTGGTAGATGCAGACTACTTGGTTGGGGTCCACGTGACTATCGTAACCAGTGGTCGGAGACTCTTGATAACATGGCTCAGAATCGACCACAAAGGCGTGGGTGTATACACTCTTTGTCTTCTTTTAAACCGTAAGATTAAAATTGCTTTATACCTTTCTTTCTACGAACTGATTCTTTCTCCCTGTATTATATCATTATATAAAATCTTTCTTTTATATATTACTACCATTGAAGTAACTATTTCTATGAATTCGGTGTTCACCTTGTTGTGCTAATGAGGTGTGATAACTCGGACCGATGCAGATATGTGCCTCGTCCTACGTTGTAGCTGACTGACTGCAGATCATTCCGCCAATCACTCACAGACCAGCATTACGAAATAAATAAATAAAAGTAAATGATTGATACGGAATTGTAATTATAACTTCCTTACAGCACAACAGTGTAAATTTACTGATACATTTAAGAAGCAACCAGTTCAGAAATAACATCACCACAGTGCAATAATCCAAATGAAATGCTTGGTGATTGAAATTTTACATAAAGTACAAAATTTAACCAGTAAGTAATTCTAAAAATTTTAGTTCTACATACAGAAGATATAGCTGAAATGAGTTGGGTTTGTGAATATCAAGGGCAATAAAAAACACGCGCGCCTGTTAGTATTATTGTTGATGACAGTTAGCTTTTGATAGAAATTGTACATTTACATGTGAGTACAAGTGGAATACTTTAACGTACTGTTAAAAGCAATCAAAAGCCATTTTAATGAAGAAAACGAACTTGTGAAAGATTTTCCATTGCTATATTAGTTGTCCCAATATTTGGCATAATAATTCAGGTTTCTGTGTGGTGCGCTATAGGTTCTAGGGTTCCACACTGTTGTATTTGGACTGTCAAGATCATACCGCTGAGCGTTTTCATTCTGTGCTTGGATAAGGGCACGAGCTTGAGCAAGATATTCTGCATTACGAGCCCGTGAGGTTGGACGACCAGTTGGTGTAAGCGTATAACCATTACGCTGTTGACCTCGGCTATTACTTCGGAAATTCGTTCGTTGACTCCACCTTTGGTTACGAACAAAGGTGTTGCTGTGTAAGGAATTATTTCGGGATAAGGCTCCACGGAATGATGTCCTTCTACCTAAATGCCATATGAAAAGGACCATTAATCAAATCCCATAGAAATTATAAGATCATCAGAGAGAGAAAATTAAACTACGATACTATTAAGCTAAGCTTGATCTCTGATATGTTCTTCAAGTAGGAAATGGCTGTAATTTTCAGTAGTTTTCACAGCTGACTTCGAGTTTCGTAATAGGTCGCATAATAACAATTTTCACGGGTTTTGTAGGTATCCATTCTTCTAAAAGATAACTATCAGGTATTATTCCAATTCTTAGCAAATTGAAGGCGTTGAAAGAATTTCTACACTTTTGAATTGGGTTGTTACTACAACAATTAAACGTTCTGTGTGGGTTAGCTTCTAATATACTTAAGTCTCAAGTTTTTGTATTCAAGGTAGTAAACAAACATCGGAGCACCCATACTACACGGAATTCATCACAACATATAAAATCGATTGTAGAAGCCACTATTTATACAAGACGTCTTAGGTATCGCAGCCAAATCACGGTCTCCAACAATGGTTGTAGCTAATAAGCACATGGAATTTCTGTAATCTATATAATCCAAAACAAATGATACACTACTGAAAACAAGATCAATACCATCTGCATGCCATAAAAATTTAGAAAACACACAGTGTTCGTTTTCTATCTTTGTCTGTGTGAACATTAAAAGCTGCCATAACCCAACCTATGACATATATTTACCTATATTTATGCATGTGGAAAACTATGGACAGCAATATCAGCTAAGAAAACGTTATAAAGTAGTGAACAGAGGCAATATAGAAATCATACAGAAACCTAACACTTAATGGTCAATGGACATCGAAAAACACCTAATCTATTGGTTAATCAAAACAATGATAATGAACTATAAAGTCTGGTTTCAGATCCTGGAACAAAACCATCAAAATAAATGCGGGCTGTGACAATACGCTTATACGTAATACTAAGTCAAAATCCCTATTGACAGAACAAACTGTTAGTTACTGATGGAGATATTATAAAATCTCTTTTCTTCTAAGTTTGTACTGACGATATTGTCTAAAAAGACAAATTAAAACTACAAAATCTGACAACTCAACCCATTAAACGAAACACCAAGAAAAATACAAATATTTTTTATGCTATAATCTGTATAAGTCTGTCTGAGCAACAAGAGCTTAATATGAAGCATCAGAAAAAAAATCCAAATCAGTATTATATGGCGTTTCATGCCATCGATTTAATCTATTATACAGGAATTAGATGGAAATCGTAAGTCGTATCTCGAAGCCGGTTCAGAAATTCCTTGTAATTTAAGTAGTCAGTGATAAGCCAAGACACGCTACTAAATTTTACTTAGTGTTCAAGTTTTTATGTAGTATGATACATAAGCATCATCGGGAAATACTCCTAGAAATCCGGAATTAAAAATGATGAAAAGCAAGCACCGAAAAGTTAGTTTACCTTGAGGTGATCCCAATACCTGAAGGGATCTACGACGTGGACGTCTTTGAAAATTAAGTGATTGCTGCTCTGATTGCCACGAACGACCAGTGACTTGAGGTGTAGTGTAAGCTCCTCGGGAACCGACTGTTGAAGCAGGAGCGCTCCTTCGTCTTGAGGGACGTCTTTCATATGCTATAAGAAGAAATAAATGCTTCCAATCGTTCATGTTCGGGGATATCACTGAGAATACATCAATTAAATTAGTTGTAGGAATCATTTGAGGAACACTACTGAATAGAAACGACGAAGAATGATCCATTCGAGAAAAGCTAATCCGGTATCGTATAAACCCAATCATTATTAAGCTTATGCATGTGACCTTGCACAGTCAATCTAACAATTGAGTAAGTGCCAACCTCTAGGGACAAATACTTTATGAACTTATTACTGAAAAAATAATAATAATATGATCATAAACAAAATTATTTATAGGAACCAGTGCGCACCAATGCGAGAGGTTGGTTGAATGTTTCTTCGTTCATTAAACAACTGCTGACGTTGAATACGATTGCGCTGAAGAAGTGCAGTGGCATCAGCAGCTGTCCTAGCAGCGGCAGCGGCGGTTCTCTGAGCTCGGCGGAGGACTGCCTGTGCCGTCGATCTACTTGAGCGGATATTTTTTACGGTGAACACACGTTTGTTTTTCGTTAAAACTTGATGTTGAGAAGAAGACCCCTGAATAGGACGATTGATTCGAGAAAGTCGCTTCTGCCTTAAACCACGTAATCGGGTTGCAGCAGCAGATATTCGAGGTTTTTGTCGATACTGAGAAGCATTCTGGCGTCTACCACGAATAGCTAGCGTTTGTTGAACTCGTCTATTTTTACGAGCTTCTTTTTTATCCAATTTGATAATCTCATCTACAAGAAAAGAGGAAGATAATTTGTGAGAAGTTGGTATAATTAATGATTAAGTTTAGACAATGTTATAATTGCAATATCCAGTATAAACTAGGTTATTAACGAGTAACCAAACTTCATTCGAACTAAGACAGATTTTAAGTGGGACTTTTGTTTATTGTTGAAATAAGTTGAACACCACAAAGAGAAGATATAAGTAACTATGATAATGACCATGAATAAACTACTCTGATTCTTAGAACACCATTAATTTTTTTATTATAACAAGTTCTTTACTTTTTTGTTCACTAAAACACACGGAAAAGTAGTATGGGATGAATGGAGACAATTTAGGCATTATTTGTGCATTAATTAGTCATCAGTCATATTCACTGTAGAATCTCGGACATGTGCACATCGGTACAGGTTCCCACATCCTGTTGAACATGGACGTTATGCACCATGATATTCGACAAAAAAATCTAAGCTTAACATTTCCTCTATTTACGTCATACCACCACCGGACAGCATAGCATACCCGACAAATATTAGGGGATTGCGTCTCCTGACGTTACACTACTGCCTAATGGATTAGACCTTTAAGTCATAGGCTCGAAGTGGTCTCCTGCTTTGTTTTGGGTCTTCAGAGAGTATGATGATGATTAATATTGAAGTGTTCCAGCTTGCCTTTGCCATCTATACAAATGATATTTACAAATGCCTGATTAGAAACAAATTTATTATAAATTCACTTTTCTTTTTCATCTCCATTTTGTGTATACTTTTGTTTCTTTTTTAGCTAAACCAGCTGCTCTTCTATGATGAGTTCTATCTTGTCTGAACGATCTCCAAGTCACTGATTGGTCGGTTTGAATGTCACCATCGAATACAGAATCAGAATAAGCTCCCTTGAAACCACATGTGCCATTGAGACTGATCACCTTCAACATTTGCCCACAGATGCAGATCGGACAACAAAAAGGTTTAAGTATGTTTTCTGAAAGTCTTGATATCAATGTATGGTGTACACTTGAGGCTCGTGTTTACAATTACTGAAGTAATACCAGTTTGCTCTCTATTAATCGATTCGAGAAGTCTCTTTCATATGTAGTTACCCGGTAGTCCTGTAGCATTTTCGTCCGCTTTGGTTTGGGCTGGTGCAACATTAAACGCCAAAGTAAAAGTGGGACTAGTTGACTGACCTGTCCGGTGACGAACAGAACGAAAGTGCACAGAGAACTCCAACTCTTAAAGCGCCACAAATCACCAAACCCAGATGACTTACCTCCGGCCCTTTTTAAAGATGGTGGATGACTTACTGATTAGGGAACAGACTGAGTCATTTACTAATGTCGGGTAATCAGACTGCTTCAACATCGTGGAATAAGTCGATAGTTGTGCCTATATTTACAAATTATCGGGGGATAAGTCCACTTCCGACTGCATCCAAACAATCGGCTTCCGTCACACTTTGTAGATTGTTCAAAACCCGAGGAAGATTGACCCACGAGAAGGCTGGTTTGCGTTCTGATCGAGGATGTGTTAATCGTATCTTCACCCTCCGCCAAATTTTAGAACACCGTCAAACTTATTGCAGGCCAACAATCGTAGCGTTTCTTGACATTAGGGCCGCCTTCAATTCGTTAAACAGGACCGTTTTATGGGATCGCCTACTGAAGAAAGATGTGCCTGAGAAGTCTACTAGTATCTTGAAAGCCTTATAAAAAAACAACTCAAACGAAGTGATGATATATAACTACCTCTCTCCACTATCCCATTCTATCACTGAGATTAGACAGAGTTGACCAATCTCACCATTTCTCTTCAACTTTATCATCAGTAACATACTGGAAACAGCTCTGATGGGTGTAGGTGGTAGTGGTGTGGGTCTGTTGCCTGAAGAAAGACTCCGATGATTCACCTTACTGCGTGATGACACAAGATGTGTAAGTAGCGCTTAATCAGTTGGAAATCAGCATCCGTCGGTATAGCACGTACTTTGAGTCTTTTAAGTCCTAAGCGTTTTTACAAGATAGGTAGGGAACTGTGACTATGCTCCCCCTTGGTGAGGAGCCTTGAAAAATCATCGGGAAAGTTGTGTATTTATGTAAATGCTGGTGGTGGCACGAGTGATAGGACCAATCTACGTGTAGTTAAAGCCAAGATGGCTTATGGCGATTTCAGTCATTTTTGGAATCATCTTAATACTAGTCTAGTTGCAAAATATCAGATTTATAGTGGTCCCAGTGAAAGTAGTTTAGTCTGAGAAAACTAGTTTCTCTGAATTGAGTGTTCTTTAACTCCATGTCGATCAACGTTCCCTTCGAAGGATTAGTGACATTCAGTGGCAGCGCTATGTTAGTAACCATAGATTCATCAATATTTGTTCCGTCACGGTGATAATTCGGTGTACCCATCTTGAAACGAACTTCAGTGACGAATTGTTCGAGATTTTTGGTGATCGGGAATAAAATCTACAAGCTATTTGGTGAAACTTAGGTGCTAAAGGATTTGAAATGAATGAAAATGAAACGGAACATTAAGTTGGACCACAAGTTTAGATAGACTACTTATACAGTTTAATCTGCATAACCGCTCAAATGTTAAAGAAATATTTTTTGAACTGGATGCACTCTTGATATGACCAGCAAGCATTAGGCCAAACAAACACGTCTTAATTCAATGGTGAGTGACTGGCCTACAAAACTGATATAATCTAGTCGTTTATCTTTCTGCTAATAATTCTTGTATATGCATGTTATTTAATTAGATAGGAAACAAATTCTTTTGGCTAGTAGTAGTCATCATTCAGCCACATTGTATCATTACACATGATCAACCAATTAATACTGCAATCACTTATATAGATAATCTCCAGGCGATTTTTATTACAAATCATAGATTTTTTCACAATGACTCTCTTGCCTTGTTAGGTTTCAATGCTAACGATAGAATTTCTTTAGGCTATAGATGTGGTTTTTCAAAATTGAAACCATATATTCCCAGAAATATGTATATGACTGGCTTTTGAGCACCTGATTTGTGCTCCCGTTTCTAGGACGATAAAACTACTAATGCTACTCTTGGGGTTTGAAGAGACGTTTTAATTATTTTAATGTAACAGGTATCCAATTTGTCTCTAGAGTAAAAAAATAAAAATGTAATGGTAGTAGAATACTTATTTTAAAGGAGCTCCAGTGATAGCTATATATGTAAAAAGGCTCAGAAAACCAATCAAGGGTTTCTCAAGCACTGTTCAGGGTGGACTAATGAATTAAGTCCAATATTGATTAACTCAATGAGGACAAGATAAAGTCGATGCTAGTTTGGCACTCATCACTAAGCACAGTTTCAATGAATCTCTCAACACTTGCGTATCTTTATTCACTAAGTAGACCAGAGTGTGCTGCAACCAAAAGTTTCCGACAAAATATCCTAAATAAATATTCTTGTAGTTGTAAGCCCCGATAGAGTCACCAAGCATATGCGTTGGTTTAGTTAAGTTTCATTGCTATAATTGAAATAATTAAGTTACGCCAATTAACTACGTTACCAATAAGCCATTTTTGGTGAACATACATAACATTCACCTATATATATATACTAAGCACTTGGAATTCCAAAAAAGCAGGAATGCCAATTTGTAAGTTCATTCTTGTCCAAGCCAAGATTTAAGCACTTATCTCTGGAAACATCATACGGTACAATTTATGAAATTTCATAGTTACTGTGGTTTGTTTGGAAGTGAATTTTGAACAAGACATTAGAGCACTAAAACTTTAAATCGTGTGATAACAACAAACCAATGTTAGTGTTTTTTATTGTTAGAAATGAGCAGCACATCCTGTTTATTAGCAATCATTAGTTGTAGTAAAAAACAGCTGTATATGGCATGGAGCTGTCAGTTTATCAAGAAACTAAGGCTGAAGTCCTAAAGGTCGTGAGTTCGTAGTTAGTTGCCTTAGGAGTTTATCACAACAGTTAGTGGTAATCCTGTCGTAGTTTTCTTGCACAAATGTTACAAAAAGCAAATCTACTTCACTGGAAAGCTGTCTGCTTTTAAATCAAATATTTAATAAACACTACTCTGGTCCAGTTAATCAGTGACAATGACTTTTCTTCAATTCACTACGTCTCATTTCTTAGGTGAATCGTTGTTATATTTCCAGTCAGCCGAACACAACGTGAACCCTGGTACGCATGTACATTTGCTCACGTTGCCATAACTCGTTAGCAGAGATGAGTTGTTAGGGCAAATCCCAGTGGTAGAATTGGTAACAGTACGAGTGGCAATATAAAAGATTAGACATCAATGACATAAATATGAACTAATGAAAAATTTTCGAATGTAGAACCTTAGAACCTGAAGAAAAACGAATAGTGGACGAACCTGCGCCATTCCAAACAATTTTGAGTCACGTCATTTAATGCATCTAACCGTTGATTACGACGACACAGATCTCAATTACATGGTCTACAACTGTTAACATGGCTCAGTTCAACTGTTAACGATTGATGCCATTTTTTGGTTTGGTCGCCTTTAGCTTTCTTCCAGCCTACTTTTGTACCCGAAAACATCGCCCGGGCGTAGCACATGTTCCGACCACCTCAGTTGGTGAGCATTTAGTACCTCGCTAATTTATTTGCTATCTTTAATTAGCACCCTATTTCTCATCTATCCATTACTTACATGGTGGTAGTAAAATACAAGAGCAATGCTTCGAGGACACCTATGATCGAATGCCAGTAACCTACGGATATCATCGATTTTGAATGGCTTCCACACAGAATGGAGCGAACTGCTACGTAGTAAACTCATCCATTGGTTGACAGACGGATATCTCATTTTCGCAACAAGTTAATCAAGCTGGCAAAAGCCAATTGGACTGTCTGAATCCATCCCAAGATTTTGTCAGACACCAGTTCATTAGAACTGGTGAGTAACCTAAGAGGAGTGAAGAAGCCGATACACTCACTTAATCTACTCCCTATCACTAACTCAGGCTTCGACCAATCCCGGAACAACATTTTGCACTTGAAAAATATTGGGTCTTATACTTAGGTAGTAACCAAATTTTATGAGCAACACAAGCCTGACTACTTTGATACTCTAATCCTCAGTTTACAACCTAAATAGCCAAGTTTAACCAATGCTAACTGGAAAAAAACGATTCACCTGGCATAGAAATATCTTACCTAAGCTCATATCCAACTTGTTATTGGTCTCGTCCTCCGCCTTCATCCTTATCGAAAAACAGAAACCGTACTTGACTTAAGCCCGACCTTCATACGCTAAAACAAAGCTCGTTAGCTGGTTTAAATCTTCCTTAATAAGGATAACGGTAGATCACTTAAAGTGTAATAATCTTTGAAGTGCTCACTTTTTGGAGGTCCGGTTACGTTATGACGATATTTATCATGAGGTTAGTGTCATCTGCTCGGACAAAGACAAAGACGAAACAGCATTTCAGTGCTTCCAGGTTTTAGATGACGTTCCAACTTATATCGATGGGTGATCTTGGTGAAATATAACAGTCTCCACAACCCCATACTGAAAAGTCACGAAGGTTGTCACATCCGAGTGGCCAAATACCCCACATATTTACGAGAGTGTCTAAAAACTTATCAAAAATCATACACAATTGAGTGGTTGTTTTTCAGTTTTAGATGATAATGATTTCTAGGTCAATACGTAAAAACATTATTCCCATTGATAACCGATATTAGTCACAACGCGGTTGGAAGTATATATCAACAATTACCTAGTTCTAGACCAGTCAGATAACTTCACTTGGTCACTATGAAGCCTCTAACTATCCCCTTCGATTCTTATCGCTCTCCAACTCCTGATACTATCGGGGTAAAACGAGACCGATGATAATTTATGAGTAAAGATTCCACAGATATTCAGGGTTTTACAACGCTCCTGTCCTTAACACCTTTATAATCGAAGGATATAAACCCAGTAAAATCAGAAGTCAGGAACGAAGGATTTCAAAAGTATGTTTTCCGGGTGGTCGACGTGTCAAAATGTGTACGAGCCAAGCTGGACAGTAGTTAAAAGAGGTTCGTGGCGCGGCGTACACAGCGGTGACGTGGTGAGGATGCGCGACCTAACCCTTTCAGATAGAGTGTGTTTATTAAACTATTGAGGTCAGTATCAATGCCGAGGACTTATGGAACTATTCATTTCGGGAATTTATTTATCTCCATGTACACAGGAAAGCGAGGGTCGCATTCCTGCAATTGAAGAACATATGGAACTCAAAACAACTTTCAACCAATATCAAAGTGAGAATCTTCAATACGAATGTCAAGACAGTCCTACTGTATGGAGCTGAAACTTGGAGAACTACAACAACCACAATCAGGAAGGTACAAGTATTTATAAATAGCTGTCTACGCAAGATACTCAACATCCATTGGCCGGATACCATCAGCAATAGCCTTCTGTGGGAGATAACAAACCAACTTCCAGCTGAATTGGAAATTAGGAAAAGACGATGGAAACGGATAGGACATACATTACGCAAATCGTCAAACTGCATCACGAGGGAAGCCCTAACTTGGAATCCTGAAGGGAAGCGAAAAAGAGGAAGGCCAAAGAACACATTACGTCGGATAATAGAAGCAGATATGAAAAGGATGAATTACAACTGGAAGGAACTGGAAAGGACTGCCCAGGACAGGGTTAGATGGAGAATGCTGGTGAGCGGCCTATGCTCCTTCACGAGGAGTAACAGGCGTAAGTAAGTAAGTAACACACGAACGTGTGGAGAGAGGATTCGAGCAAGTATTTAAACCAAACAGGATAGGTTTCCAAATTTACTTGAGACTAACGGTCTTCTAGAGATGATACATCCCAACATCCTAAATTCCAATATCTGATTTCCTTAGACAGTTTCAGTTAGATCACATAAATATCGTTGACGTTTATTGATGCGTGATCACTGTTATAGGCGAACTAAAATCAAGAGGTTACCAACCGAGTTTCTGGCTTCAAACCGAAGAACCAGAGTTCTTCAGTGGAGTTCAAGAAGCAGGTCCCAGCAGACTAACTCCTGTTGTACGCCTGTTCAGTGAAGTTTACATTAGGAAGACCGGGTCTAACTCTTCAAATATCGACATGTGCGGGTTTCAGTGGACATCCGACAGTCGCCATCTGTGTTTATCAGAGAATAGTTTTCATTAGTCAAGGTTTAGCATCACCTTCTTCTTGATCCAGTTGAACAACACTGGATAGGAATGCCAATAAGCATTTAGGAAAAATTTGTGAATTTTCTACTCCTAAACATCATGAGCTCCATCAAAAAGTTTCATGTTCACCAGAATATTACACGTATAAACCTGCAGTATTTTATTGACTCAATTTATCCTCCTTGCGCTAATGCCTTTTGGCCGCTGGTAAGATCACGTGGGACTACGTAATTTTGCGGCAACGAGTGAAAGTAAGATTAGTTAGACTGGACCATCACTAGACGTAGTCTTAGAGATCGTAGACGAAAACTTCAATAAAGTTCTCAGAAATGTTTACAGTCCTCCTTCACTCATGTACCATAGGGTTGCACACACTAGTCTGGGTTTCCACAAAAGTACGGAAAACAACGCCATATGCTCCTTGTCGATTAAGCGTGCAGTTGTGGTGTTTGAACGGACTGATGATACCTTAGTACTTGTTGAATGCTTGATTTTGAATTCTAAATACAGTACATTCGTTTGTGGTTATTTGGTACTTCTTGATCCTATTACGTTATTTCTAGGACTCTTAGTTCATACTATAATTCAAATACTCGTAATCACCACAGCAGTTCACACGACAAAGGGATATTAGGTCTTCAGTAGCTACTGCTTTTACTTTCTGGCTCTTCGTTTTCCTTAAATAACTATGTATATAGAACACTTGAATAATATTCAGTATGTACTCATTTACATTCGACTCAGTGATGTGCACTGTAAAAGATATGGTGGCACTAATTTCTAATAATCAAGAGGCTAGCACTTCTATTAGTCTGTTTAGATCACCATCTAGAGATAACATTCTAGAAACAATATACCCGCAAATACTCAGTGAGTATCCAGTTCAATATTAACAAACTCATTTGGATTGATATAGGATGCGGCACTATGGGACTCCATTTTGAAGTGGATGTTGCGCAAATATACATATGTGATTAAATCTTAGGCTTTGGCTTAAGATATTCGAATGACCTAAATGTTTAAGAACAAATAACGTTGGCCACCTCCAAGGCTCGTAAAATCATGGGTCGTATTGTGAGTAATTGCTGGCAGAGTGAGTTTAGACTCTTATTATATAAATTATGTGTTCACCCAGTAATGGAACGTTGTCCATCTGTAATTAATAGCCTTCATGTAAGCTACACATTGAAAACCGATGTGACATAAAAATGACTCTAGGAATGGATCGCGATCAAAGGCTCTTCACACGATGTAACATACTAGGGCTAGAACCTCTGTAACGACCGAACCGCAAGTATTCGATTTGGATGCAGGACTGACGAACCAAAATTTACTCGAATAGGCCAGACTAATTTCTTCTGTATAGCTTACAAAGCGATTTTGAAATACTTGTATTAAATTATATCAAAACATAAACTCTGTGCTAAATTTGAACGGTTCTAATTTAAAAAATAGAACAAGTTATATCAGAAATACAAAATACCTCGAACGGTACAGCCTGCGCTATACAGTCAGAAGTTTCTGCGACGCAAAGTAGCGCGCTAAGCAACAAAAGAAACAGTTGGTATTAAAGGGTACGATACCTAAGAATCAATAAAAATATTCCCAACAAGAAGGGATCAAACGTCTATCCGCAGAGATTCCAGCAATCCTCCAAAGCAGACAGTCAAAATGTCAACAGATACACGCTGAAACACGCCGTGACCTTGTGCTTAGTCAAATACTACCTTGCTGTCAATAGTTGGGCAACATGCAATGGAAAATTAGGTGACAAAATATAAGCCTTTAATCAAAACCACATAATAAAGGCTAAGACGAGAAAGACTAAAGAACAAAAGGTGTGGTTAAACGAGATCTGAACAAACGTTAAAATACACGACAGGGGGAAGAAACAAATAAATGACAGTACTGTCCAACAAAAATGCTGCGGTGGGATTTTCATCGTTCTCTTCCCGTTACACTGCTTTAGTAGCGGAAGTTTGAGTTTCATGTTACTCCAAACTCACACACCCATAACTACACTGCTGTAATCCAATCCTAGACTTCAACAATTTGCCAACATTAAACTAAAAAATCATACTGCGTTGATCACAATACAATATGGTAGATTTAATGTACGACAAGCCTCTTCCTAAGTAAGATTTCTGTCATTTGGAATGGGTCACGAGTTGGGTCACGTGAAAAGGACATGACGGACCACTCTATTCATGAGTTAAATTAACTTCAAGACCACTCCGAGACACTAAATAAACTAGCTGTTTACTCGATTTCGGTCTAGGTAAATATAAACACATTTCACTGTGCCACAAAAATGATAGATCTACACCCAACTTATCGGAGCTTATGCAAAGGTCACATCATAATCTGTACCGATTCATCTTATCGTTACAGTTGATGGTTACTGCTAAGTACTTCTAAGAATATATTCAGTCAGATAAAAGAATAATGTATTTAGTGTGAGAATGAAGAGGTTACATAGAGTGACTACATTTGGATAGCCAAGTCCTGCTGTTTCTGTCAAGTGTTTTGCGTCAGCTATTTTTAATTTTCGCCAAGGGTTAAATGATGAATGTAAATCTTCTCAATAATCATGTCTTGCTTCAAAGATTGTGTGCTTTAAAAGTAATACCACCAGCAGTCCACCCCACGGACCGACATTTGAGAAAGTGTGACCACCTGTTCTGCTTCAAGTCCTCCAATTTCCCCTCTTTTTCAGCACCCTGGTAATATACTTATGAAACGCATATATAGAACGTATGACTTCAATCCTAAGCCCTCATCAATACCTGCAATATTTTAGAAAGATTTCCAGTTGTGTTTATCATAACCCTTTTCAATTTGTTGTCTGGAAAACACAATCGGAAGAGACAAGCTAATGCATTGTAGTTGATGTTTTAATTGATAGATTATGCATCTGCCATATAACGTTTTGATATAAACACCCCTGGGCTATACTTCTATTAATTGTCGTCCACCACTTGTTCATCGTAAGGCAGACTCCACAAAGCGCTCCAATTTTTATATTTAGCTTCTGATTTTCAACAA